GGATCGCTTACGGAAAGGATACACAGAAAGTTTCACGTATTAGTGAGAATATGTGCTCCACTTGACTACTCTTTCAGTTTCTAGTTCACTTACGAAAAGGATGCACAGAAAGTTTCCAAGTTCCTTGTGGTTGTGTGATAACACTGATTCTTTCCCACTCTCTGGTTCGCTTACGAAAAGGATGCAGAGAGAGTTTTCAAGAAAAAGTTCACACGACCGACTGATTTCTCCTACACCCCACTGGATCACTTACGAAAAGGATGCGCAGAAATTTTCAGATAGTCAGTGGTATTCCTTCCAATTTCTCCTACACCTCTTTGGATCACTTACAAAAAGGATACACAAAAATTTTCAGATAGTCGGTTGGTTGTCTTCTTCCTGCCACGCGGGTCTTGTGGTCTCGATTCTTCCGGTTGCAGATGGAATGCAAGATGGTTTCACTGGTCGATGCACCAATTTGGTGGAAACCAATGTTTCGTTGTAAATAGATTGTGGAGTCGTTAGATAGTTTATTAAAACGAATCCGGTTTTGGACCGGGGAAACAAAACTATAATACAATCGGGGGCTCCTATATAGGTAGTAAGGTGGAGCTGACCTGTGCACATTCAGACTGTCCAGGAAATATCTGTAAGGAAGAGGATGCCGCAGCTTGACGCGGCATTCTCTTTCTTACATATATTTCCCCTGGAAGATAGGTGCCACTCGCTGGTGAGTGATTCGGCACTTAAATTTAAGCGGTTGGGGAATATAGCCTATGGGGAATACCCGTAGGCTATTAGGATTATAGAGTTGTTGGGGCTGATTTATAAATCAACACATATGGATGGCCTTAATGCTGACAACAATACCTGTACAGTGGGGTGCCATTTTGCATTGTACACTTGGAAGCCAAGCAGCGTCGGAAGCGTTGGAAGGAACTCGCTAAGTCTCTGATCCCTCTGCTTGAAAACAGTGTGGAAGTAAGAGTGCTATTTCACATACAGTGACCGCCAAAAAGTTTCGGACAAGCCGCGTTCCTTTTTTCATCGCTCATTCTCGGATGGAAAACAAAGATGAAAAAATGATTGGATTGCATGGGGTGATAGATCTCCTCAAGGCTACAACCCACACATTGCGCTTTCTGGAAAATATGCATTCTAAAAATTTTAGAAGCCTTTTTCTTAAAAAAGACTGAAAATGGCCGCGTCACAGTGTCGCGGACAATAATTCTTCGAAAGCGAAAATTCTCTTTCACGTTTTCGTTTGAAGCAAAAACAGAAGTTTTCTTGGCAAATGAGCATACTATATTATAGAGCTAGTCGAGGACAATAATCAGATAGTGGTTAGTTACCTCCAAAAAACCCTAACTTGAATTTTATTTTGCTTTTTTCAAAAAATAACATAAAGGTGATTGAAGTGGAAGCTCTTATCAACATCAGGGCAGTCTTAGAGCTGCGGAATGGTTCTATTACAAGAAAATTGACAGTTTTAAACCTCTAGGATGGAACTAGTAGCGAAAAGAGCTCTTTCAACTTTAGCTAAAAAGAACCTTAGCCAACCACTGGGGCTGCGTTTTCACCCCATCCGTCAAATCTCTGGGTTTCCCCAAACGCTCATTTGCATACTGTCGCGTCGAGGTAATAATGCTCTTTCAAATGAGCCCACTAGCAGACTTGTAGAATGACTGCTGGCCGAGCTACAAGCCTGCAAATAGGTGCGAGTCAGTGGTGAGATGCAGACGGGCTCATGTGCATGCACTGTCAAGAGCCATTTGTGGCAAAGAAACATACCAGCACACGTCCAATGCATAAAGTATTGCATAGAGCATCTATTTTACCTGAACAGCTTTGTTAGGACGTTTTTAATAGGTTTCCGTGTGAAGAAATTTGGCTTGAAAAGAATAATTAGAAGTTATTTTTTGAAAAAAGCAAAATAAAATTCAAGCTAAGGTTTTTTGGAGGTAACTAACCACTTCTATAAAAGCACTGACTTGAAAACGGCTGGCCCCCGCAAGTCACTGTAATAGGCTCGCACGCATACAATTGCCTCTTCGACTATGAAGTTAGTGTGTGCGTTCGGCGCATGCCCTCAGAGGGTATTGAAGACGCCGAATCCTTTATCCTTTATCCTTTAACTAACCACTACCTGATTATTGTCCTCGACTAGCTCTATAATATAGTATGCTCATCTGCCAAGAAAACTTCTGTTTTCGCTCCAAACGAAGACGTAAAAGAGAATTTTCGCGTTCGAAGAATTATTGTCCGCGACATTGTGACGCGGCCATTTTCAGTTCTCCAGAAAGAGCAATGTGTAGGTTGTAGCTTTTGAAGAGATCTATCTCCTCATGCAATCCAATCATTTTTTCGTCTTTGTTTTCCATCCGAAAATGAGCGATGAGCAAAGGAAGGCGGCTTGTCCGCAACTTGTTGGCGGTCACTGTATATAACAAATGTAGTGGCGCGAGTTGTGAGGTGTGCCGGACTTTATCCAAATCCTAGAAATAAAACGAAAGAACACGTCCTCTTAATGAGCTCGTACAGATGACTTATGGAAATTTCCATCTAAACCTCTATGGACTGATCTCATTCCTCACACACAATTTAGCCAAAGTTACCATCTCTTTACGGTTAGGCAAGTTAATTATAAGCCTAAACAAGCGTTTGACGTACTCTTTAGATTTTCCTGCAAATGAAGACATGTTTGAGGGGATTGATTTCCCATGTTTAGAACGAAATGTTAAGTGTGGGAACCGCATAATTCCAAATCAATAACGCACTCCTTTTGAGGTTTTTTGAGCTTCTCAAAATTTTTGAGGGTCCATAATCCCTAAAATCTTGAAAAAGGGGTGGCGTTAACCACGCCCCAAAAATATTTTTTTTACAAGGCTAATTTGAATTTCTGAAAATTTTTGGAAATGATTTCAATTTTTACAAAGATAAACAGGTCACTTGCACATTTTCATAATCCACGTAAGTAAATTTCGAGAATGCGATCCATTCGTAATATGTATACTCAGGGGCGGACCGAGGAACGGCCCCCCCCCCTCGGTCCGCCACTGAGTATACATATTACGAATAGCAGCAAAATGAAATGAAGAGGTCAGAGTTTTTCGAACTCGTTTGAATATGAGAAAAAATGCAATTCGGGAATACTTAAAAGATGTGATCATTAGGATAAGGATTCCAGCATTCCGCCCATTCTGCTGAGTTTGATATTTAGAAGTTGAGCGCCTTAGCTTTGCATACTTTCATATATGTTAAAATATCAGATTGTAAAGAAAGTTCCTGGGCACTTTTGGAAATTTCATTTTCAAATGCATTTTTTCGACGCTCGGTCGGACTTTGACACCAAGTTTCTTATACTGTTCAGTAGAGAAAAGCCTAAAGTTTTCAATACGGCTTCTGATTTTTATCGACGCCAAAACGTGTTTGATCTGCACATCAAAAAGAGGAATCTTTCCAACCATAAAAATTTCACAATTTTTCTTCCTACAGCCATTTTTTTGTGCAGTTCAAAGAATTTCGTCCAAATCATGGGTGATCTGATTGAGAAGCCTGTTAAACTCTGACCCGCAGCTGTACTCGAGTTCTGCGATTTGCTCTCAAAAATTACAAGCGGTCGAACTTGCCTCTGACTGCATCTCTTTTCGCAGCTGACGTCGCTTCTGCAGGGATCGCCACGCCGGAGTGATGGGTCCAGAAGCTGCTTAAAGCATTACACCAACAATATTCGCAGTAATCAAAGATTTGGTCCAACCTATGCAAAACGACAAGACATCAAATTCAGTTACTCGAAAAATGGTGCATTTTTGGGGGCAAAAAATGGTCGATTTTTCAAACTTTCCAAAAAATTTTTTTTGTAAGTGGTTCTGCAAAAACATGAATGGTCCCCATAACAGCCCCAGCAGACTTCTACATAGCCACAGCATTTGAGCTCTCCAGCTTTCATCGTACCTGAGATAATCCTGCGCAAATAGGTCACTTTTCACGACGACCTTTTTCCCTTTTGCGCATGCTGATGGACCGCAGTGAGATGCTGAAAAGCCAGCAAGACAAAAATATGTTGTAGACAAAATTGTCTTTGCAATGAAGTTTGTAGCTTCAGGAAAGAATCAATCTGCTTGAAGTTACAGCGATTTAAAAAAATTTTTTCGCATGCCCGGGAACTTTCTTTACAACCTAATACTTGTACTTTTTCTCCACTTGCAAACAGCTAGGCTAAGTCAAAAACAGACAGTAATCAGCCTACACATGCTCTTCTTTGCCGCCTTCTGATGGTTTAGTGTTTACAACACCTTGTTTGTACGAACGATACGAACACAAAAAACAAATAAATGAAGCAACAGATCAAGTTATCTCACCATCGAGTGTCAAGCTCTTCTATTCCCAATGGTAACATTCTTGTCCTGTGAATTTAGTAGCGTTGCAATTTTGAAAGCAATTAAATTCACAAAAGGTTTATCTAATTTGTTAAGTCTAGCGTGGGTTAGTGAATATTGATACGAATGACTTTTGGTCTGGTCATTATCATTGGTATCAATTGTCTTGCAGCTCGAAAGGAGATTATTACTAACGCACTCCTTTAGCAAAGCGTTGCGGCCAATTGATTTCAAAGTATTAGTGCAGTTCTCGCTTCCAATAATTAGGAGCGATTCCGTTAGGCCTTTTCGGAAAGACAGCTTTTAGCAAGAGTAATGCTAAATTATTATTGTTCAATGTCATTTGACCATGACTGAACTTGACTAAGAATGATATATTGATATAGCAATGCAAAAGTTGTATAAGAACGGTATTAGCACTTGTTAGAGTCGACAATTACTCTGGATGCATATTTGCCCTTCTTTTCAATCAGAAACTTGTGGCAAATTGGGCATCCAAATGCAGACGCTCCTTAAGTTTTTTTTCTTCACTGACTAAACCAGTATGACAGCTGCTAGTGCCTCATAAGTTGCTTAATTTTTGGAATTATCGCTCGAATCTTTTGCACTGATAGTGGCATGCATTTCTTCCCAAGAGCTGCATTTCTTTGTACCACATTCAATTGACAGTAACCTGCTAGGATGGGTGCAGGACGGCGAACTGTGGTGGAATGCGGTCCAATTCACCTGTCACTGACTGTTGTAGCCTTTCTCCTTGCCATCGCTGCCACTTTTCTGCTAACCTACTTCCTCACTAGAAATCACTTCAAAGCAAAGGAAGAGCAAGAGCAGTAAGTTTGCCTCATTTTCTTGTGCTTTCTAGAGAAGGTGTGTGAAATATACAAATAATCAAATGAACGAAATTGAAGTACGCTGTTATGTGGTTGCAACGAAATTCACTATTAGCCAGAACAAGTCAAGTCTAAGTCAAGACAAAAAGCAACGCAATGCAACGTTAAAAATGGCAAGAGTTCTACTTCACATAAATTTTTACGTGAATAAAACTCAAAGTTTGTAAATACGTGTATGGCTCTATGTTTTATATGGAAATCATTCCAAGTGGAGGTACTGGGCTGAATTTTGTTCCTTATAGGCTTCGTGCATACCTCACGCGATTTTAGTCGTGGCCACTTGCAATACTCCAATTGCTTATAACTCGCCGCAATCTCAATTGGAGCAACAAACGAAATTTTACGCATGATATGTGGTTGCAACGAATTTCACTACTAGCCGAAATTAAGTCAAGTCTAAGTTAAGACAGAAAGCACTGCATGCGATGTCAAAAATGGCCAGACTTCTACTTTTACATAAATTTTTACGTATATGAAATCTAAAGTCTGTACAGAGGGTGTACCAAAAAGATGTACATACTGTTAATAGACAATAACTCTCTCGCTCGAAAGTTTTTCGTCGAGCTTAGGTACCATTCTCTAGAGCGAGGATCAGCTTAGATTTACAGCATGGAACGAATCTCCGATCTTTCTCCGTTACTGGGTTTACGGTAGGAATTTCGAGAAGGATTTTAAACCACTGAAAGCGATTTTTGCTCGAGAAAGAAAACCAAATAAGCCAGAAACTCTTGTACTGGATTAGACGAAGTCGTAATTCTAAATATGGAATTTGCACTTCACTGTAGTGCTTCCTTCATAAGTTATTTCAAGCTTAGGGTAACATCTGTTTTTCCAATGTTCGTCTGGAGTGTGATTACACCAATAAAGGCCCAAAAAACTGGTGAAAAGTCGTGTAGTGAAATCAGCACATTTGAAAAACTTGCAACACAAATTTTCAGATTTTTTTGAAATTTTTTTCATCAAAAGGACACACACTGGCGCCACATGCTGACAGTTCATACCGTAATTCTATAACGAAGGGCGATCGGTGGTTCGCTCCACAGTGTGGATCTAAGCTGAATCTCGCTTTATATTAGGTTGTCCCAAAAGTAAACCATATTTTTGCATAAGTCAAACTGTTCTTGTTTTTCTGGCAGACTTGGGGCACCATTCGATAGAGCGAAGCAAGTTCTACAAGACGACCACCAAAGAACCGTCTAAGTCGCTATCCAGGTATAATTTGGATCCAAAAATCAATATTTTCCAGCTGCCCTAAAAATAGGATCTCCTTTCAGAAAACATCTACGGACTTCTAACTTGGTCCTTATGTAGTAGACACATAGTAGTATCGAAAAATAGTTTTGGTTGATGTCTTCTGGAGTTCAAAGTTGAGAAACAAACGGGTCCTAAAATTCCAAAATGCCACTTTCTCCGGTTTTTTTTTAAATGTAAAACTTGGTATTTCTCTAATATAAGAGCACATACAGGAGTAAAATTTTAAAATTTTACTTAGTAAGGCTTGTATACAATGATATATGTGGGAGGGGCTGAGGGTGGAGTTTGCCATTTTTGGATAATTTTTGTTTCTCGCTTTCTATGCTCGAACAAAAACCGGCAAAAGCTTATTTGAGTACTACTATGTGCCTACTGTATAATGACTAAGTTGGGGGTCCGTAGGGTTTTTCCTCGCAAAAATCCAATTTTCAAGTTGAAATTTTTTTTCGACTTTCTTTCAAACTTTACATGGAATGCGACTTAGGCGGACCCTTGCTGGTCATTTTGCAGAGCTTGCTTCGCTCTATCGAGTGGTACCCCGTCTGCCAGGAAAACGAAAATATTTTGATTTACTCAAAAATACAGTTTACTTTTGGGACAACCTAATAGAATGGTACATCAAGCTCGGCAAAAGACATGAAAGCGGGAGAGTTATTAACGATCAAACAGTGTGCATATCTTTTTGCGACATCCTGCGTATAAACCGTGGAGAGAAATATGGGATACTTTTCGCGACAATTTATCTGGCCCTCCGATTTCGATTTATTGGCCTGTTTGCCTGATTGGGAAGAAAGCTTATCATTCATAATCAAGTCATTTTCTATGGTCATAAAGAAAGAGGCGGTAAAGCTCATTTATACGACAAGAAGACAAAATCAATAAAGGAGAACTGCGGCAGATCTGCAGAAACAGAAAGGGAGAGGAGCGCGAGGGTAAGCACGAGAAAGGGTTGAAGGGTTGGGTAAGTTAATACAAAAGCCAATATGTAGCTTCGGCGGGTCGATCCAAACATATAGGGCGTTATCATAGAATCCGCTGGTTTTGAATATTGTTGGTACCGAGTTCGTTTTCAAGAGGTTTGCTCGGCAAGCAATTACAGGGACCAGAATGTTTAATTGACAAAAGACACTTTGTTTTCTGACAACACTCTCATAATGCATCTTTCCGTGTGACTACAATACCGCTGACATTTTTTGAAAAAGAGACGCGAATGTATCGACATGTATGGACATGTATGGACATGTCGCTACATGTATGTATGGACATGCAGCGACATGTCCATACATGTCCATACATGTCGATACATTCGCGTCTATTTTTCAAAAAATGTGAGCGGTATTGTATAGTAAAGGTGACGAAGCTTCTGATATCAAAGTGCATATTCTATCATTCAAACAAAGCGGCTTAATGATTTTGTGGTAATCTGTACTTACAGCATTAGATGGCATTTTTATAACTTGCAGCAAAAAGTTTATAAACTGAGATAGCGACATGAAACACACCCAGAAAACGTGGCGCTCACATTGCATTCACCCGATTCGCTGACATATGGTAGAACTTACACATATCTCTACTAGCCGTCAATGAAAGTCTCTGATTCATCCTCAGTAGGAAAATAGGTTGCGATGTGTGGTGTAGCGATCCCGGCATCGACACGAAACATTTAAAATTGCTTTGATCGTATCCTGGTATCATCCATTCACCTTCAGCTTCGTGCTCATTTCCTTGCTTAAAAAATTTCTGGATAACTTGGAATGGTAGTACAGTAAACTATAGGCATGCTTGAAGAAACGGATTAGCCATGCGCTGACTTCAAGTTTCAAGAAATGCGGATGAAGATGGAGAGATAGAAAATTATGGGGCATTCGAAAAATCATGACGATGGCGCAACCGCACGCGACACGCACCCACATCTGGCAACCGCATTTTCTCGGTTTTCGTTTCTATTCGAATGGTTTCTTTGCCTACGTACGATAGTAGGCACTGGAAATGACCGAGATAACCATTACGGTGATGCCTTTTTCTATGAATATTATAGTTCCCGTGCTCGCAAGGACCGCGGTTAAATCGTCGTCACGATTTTCTAATTCACCCACACCACAAGTCTTTCTGTGTGTCAGGGAAAGAAAGCCTCTCAGATCATGGCACCATAAAGTTTGAAGAGCTTGCTTGATTACACCAAATCATTCCCACGCGTAAATAATTCCCCAATTATCACAGCTCATATGTGCTTCAAAACATGAATTTCAATGCGCTTGTGCAACCAGTTGGTTGCTAAAGTGAAGAAAAACTTGCGCACTACAAGCTTTCAGAATCGCAAGCATAAACGCAAATCCTTATGTGCGTCTCTAGTAGAAGATATCAATTTTAGTTGGAAAACCCAAAGGAATCAATGTTTCACTGACAACGCAATAATTACAGTGGAAAGGACCCAGAGGAGAAAGACGATGGACCGACTGCTGCTGAGTTGCGTCTGCCTACAAGCATTGAGCCAGGTGAGACAGTCGACAAGATTTTATGATTAGAAGTTATTCTGTGTTCTACGGATTCAGCTAGGGAAGTGACGGGGTCAAAGCGATAAATTAACTGTGTTTATACAGATGTAAGAAGATTTCTCCTTCTCAAAGCCTTTAGCCGTTCAAGTTCACAAATGTTCGGTGTCTTTGAGTTGATTAGATGTTTTCAGAGAGCTATGACCTAAAGTTAAAGACATTTAGATGTTTTCAGAGAGCTATGACCTAAAGTTAAAGACATATTTGCCGTCATACGTGGAGTACGAGCACGATGACTTCACTTTTGAAGCTGAGGTTCAGATGGATCTCAAAGTCCTCGAATCGGTCGACAAAATTGTCCTTAGCATGAGGAACCTCAATATATCAAAAGAAAAGTCAAAGCTCATCGTGGTAAGTATAACTATAGTCTCATTCTGCAATATGATGTAAACACAACTCGCATAGGCAAGACTTTTTCTGATTCTGCTCTTAGCTAGTGCTCATTGAAGATTTATAATAAGAGTTTTTAAAAATGGGAGAATCCTTTATTACGGATTCTCCTTCTTTCAAAGCATTACACACTAAGAGAGTTTTTGTGTATTATACTTGTAGTATCAGTTTTTGATTCCTTCAAATTATTTGGGACGGATGAAAGCATAGAAGATTACTGATTGGTGATTCCGACCTTATCAAGCTCAGTTCATTATTGAATCAGAAAGAAACCAGGGTACATGTTATAGGCTTTACAAACTAGCTAGGCAAACTTGAATTCCTAAACGAGACTCCTTCGCCCTCCCATCCCTCGGCCGTCCTCCTTGTTGAAGAACTTGTATCTCGTTGAAAGGTTACACCAACAGAGTACCTTCTCAGACAGCGGATCGGACCCCTCCGCCGGAGAAGTGGCAGGGTCGCGGCGTATCCCCAGCGGTGGGTCTCCCATTTGTCCGGCGGAGCCCTCCCATTTTCTGCTCCGGATACCTCCCATTTCTGCTCCGGATACCTCCCATTTTCTGCTCCGGAGACCTCCCATCTTCTGCTCCGGATACCCCCCATTTTCTGCTCCGGATACCCCCCATTTTCTGCTCCGGATACCTCCCATTTTCTGCTCCGGAGCCCCCCGATTTTGTGCGCCGGAGCCCCCCGATCGCGGCATACTGTAATTAGCCCTAATTAAAGGCAGCTTCCAGGCAGATCTGGACCTATGGGGCTTTTACATGGAAAGTACTTTTGGGGCCCTAACTAAGGCACTGCCGAAGCAGCAGCTCAGGTAGTGCTCCAATGGCTGAGATATTCCCCTCGAAACAGACCCACGCGAACGTACTCGCATGGATTCATGGCAGTTTCGCGCCAGGATCCACTCTTTGCGCCATGAATCCATGCGAAACACGGTCGCGGGGTCCGGTTTCGAGCAGAATATCTCAGGCGTTAGAGCACTACTTGAGCTGCCGGTTGGGTAGTGGCTTAGTTAGGGCCCCAAAATACTTTCCATGTAAAATCCCCATAGGTCCAGACTTGCCTGGACGCTGCCTTTAAGCTCCAAACCCCAATTTTGTCTCTAAACCCCACCCAAATAAGCCGAATAGGACCCCCCCCCCCCGGGTAGGAGTTTAGCGCGACCCTCACCCCGTACTCTACCCCCTCCCTCTCACCCCTAGCGTTTGTGGATAGAAGATAGAAGAAAGAACGAAGAGATAAGACATTTATTTCAAATTTATCAAACTTTCGAAAAATCTATCTATCTATCTCCAGCATACGTACAACAGTTAATTCATATTACAAAAACCATACTAGGAGTGATAAGAATATTCAAAGAAAAACTAATTTCCTAGTTGCAAAAAGAACCTTGTAACACCACAGTATAAGCATATGGTTTTAACATGGTAAGAAAATGACAAAAAGATCAAAAAAGCATTCTGTGCAACATGAAACAAAACAGCGAGGAACGCCATAAACTCACATTTGCAAAGCAGGGACATATTGTCCAAGTGCGATATATACATGAGCTATATTCATCCAAACATCTTCGAATTCCGAGGTCCAAGGCCATACTGGGGCAAAACGAAAGTAGGATGATTCAACGTAGTTGCTTGATAATAGTACTAGGACACGATGATGACATGGATTGAAATTCTTGCATATGCAACTTACCTTGAACGCCTTTTCATAGTCTCTGTTGAAATGGAAAAACCGCGCAAGAATGTAACAAGCTTCGGCCTTGATTTCGTCACTTTCCGTCATACTCATTGCATGCCACGCTAACCGTTCAACCTTGTTCATTTCCTGAAAAAGTGATGCCTTCAGATAAAGCGATAAACCTCGATGTAACAGCTTGGACAAATTTAAAAGGTCCCTTTTATAGATAATTCGTAATTAATTCAAAGAATTTCTGCACTGACTCCTTTGAAGAAGAAGTGGTTGGCAAGATGGACCAAGACAACCGGATTCTCCGGCTCCAGACTATACGCTTGGCCTAGACAAGCCACTGCACTTTGGGCTCCCTCGACAGTATGCGTATTGTAATCCAAAATGGCAAGTGCTGAGAGAGCACAAACATTGTCATTTTGCAATTCCAACGCTTGTTCAAAAGCGATTCTGCAAATTGTAATTGAAAGTCACATAAACAGTAAAGAAGAAGCTATGTGACTCAAACATTTCACATTTACATGCTTACCTAGCCTTATCAGTCCCTAATCTCGCTAAGCAATACTGGAAGCAATGTGATGTGACTAAGCAACAGTAACAGTCACAATGCTTCAGTAACAGTCACAGAACTTCAACATCGTTTGGAGTTGCCTCCAAGACTTTTGTCAACATATCTCTTGCCTTGTCCTATCTTTCAAGCCAGAAACGATATAGTGAGGATCTGCAACGTCTGATGAAAAATCGATCGACTTGGTAAGCATACGTACGAGAGAGATAGTGTGGACCCCGGCCAGCTTCAGGTACTAGCGCGGCGCACACGCAACGCGCGCCCGACTTGAACGCTTCTCATTTCACTTACGAACAAAAAAGCATTATAACCGAAAACAGGAGTGAAATGAGATGTGGAGGCCTCTAATCCGAACACGAGAAAAGCCAAGGCAATAGGAGAACCTTCACAACTTCTACTACTAGCGCTCAGATTCCAGTCAATCTCATAAATAACTGGAATCTTCTATTATCCATCGCTAGTAGTGTATGACACTACCAGCGATGGATGATAGAAGTAACAGGAAAAGTCGAAGAACAATTCTGAAAAGTCTTCCTTCTGTTCATAAAAAAACCCAGAAAGTTTGAGCTCAAGAGCACGATTGCAAAGCTCTGATGGTGTAACAAAAGGCTAGAAGCATCTACACTCCACAAAATCAACTGCATATACACTTATTCTGAACATTTGGAGAGATGTCTCTGAACTACACCGAAATCTTCACTATTGAGAAAAAAACAAGATTTTCGAAACAAATGCTTGCAAGACTGTCAAGACTCGTAAAAATCCATCACCAGCAGTTGACGTGTGTCGTTTACATCTAAAGTAGAGATTACAGAAGAGAACAAACACACTTGAAAGAGGAAATTGAAAGAAATCCCTTCAGAGCCGAAACGAAAAGCGCACTGAAGGCATGCGCTGCGGGCGCGCCGCGGAGGTACCTATGGGAACCTGGCCGGGGTCCACACTATAGCAATAAACGGATTATTTAGACGATACTTTCATCACAACAACACTAGATAGTTGCGCAACTAACCTCATTGTTTCGAAAATCCAGAATTAATCACAAAAACCACTCCATCAATAGTCTACGATGTCTCAGCAAGTCGGAAAGAGCCAAACACTGAAGGTGATTGAGTGCAACCGCACGAAAATTTCAAACATAAACCTGAAAACGAGGAACTTACAGCAACATAAACGCCAACGCGACGAAGAGCAACGCGGAAAAGGAAAAAACGGTAAAGAAACGCGCAAAAACAACAGAATCAAATAAACGGCGACTAAAATATGGACAAAGAGCGTAAACAGAGGACTCATCACCGTGGAGTTAGACGTTTGCTTGCTACGCGCCAAATCGATACGCAGCCTGCTCCGGATACCTCCCATTTCTCCGGCGGATACCTCCCATCTTCTGCTCCGGATACCCCCCATTTTCTGCTCCGGATACCTCCCATTTTCTGCTCCGGATACCTCCCATTTTCTGCTCCGGATACCCCCCATTTTCTGCTCCGGATACCTCCCATTTTCTGCTCCGGATACCTCCCATTTTCTGCTCCGGATACCTCCCATTTTCTGCTCCGGATACCCCCCATTTTCTGCTCCGGATACCTCCCATTTTCTGCTCCGGATACCTCCCATTTTCTGCTCCGGATACCTCCCATTTTCTGCTCCGGATACCTCCCATTTTCTGCTCCGGATACCCCCCATTTTCTGCTCCGGATACCTCCCATTTTCTGCTCCGGATACCTCCCATTTTCTGCTCCGGATACCTCCCATTTTCTGCTCCGGATACCCCCCATTTTCTGCTCCGGATACCTCCCATTTTCTGCTCCGGATACCTCCCATTTTCTGCTCCGGATACCTCCCATTTCTGCTCCGGACCCCTCCGATTTTCTCCGGCGCGTGTCTTCCAAATTTGGCGGACACGCGCCGCGCAGACCTCTGCGGCGCGGAGTCCGTCAAATCTGGCAGAGTCGCGCCGGAGAAATGGCGGACCTTTGCAGCAGGGCCGGAGAAGCCTCCCATTTGCCTGCCAGTGATGCCACCGCGATGGACCGCCCATTTGCCCTTCTCTCATTGGTCAACTGGGTCCGGCGCGACCCTGGCAGTTTCCGAGGGTCCGGCGGAGGGGTCCGATCGATTGTCTGAGTTTGAGCAACCTAAGTTTGAACTACGCATGCACGTTTGAAGCTGTGGAAGCCCAAAATAGACATAATGAGACCTCATGGGTAACAAACATATACAACTTGCAAGCAAACATAAAATGTATATACACCAGCTTACCACCCGGACCATGTCCAATATAATCGGAGTTCAGCTTCTGGTTCGATTATATTACTTCAAAAACGCTTTCAATACCAGGCAAACCCTCTTTATTCTCTTGTTAAGAAGCAATCTTTCCGTGAAGAAGTTTACGCAATCCAGGGTTTGCAAAAAAACACTTCACTTTCTTCACTGCAAAATGAATGTCACGCTGTTGTATCAGGAAGTTGTGAAAGTAGAATGACAGCAACTTGAAAGAATTCTAGTATCATAAAGTGCCAGAATCCAATGAACAATAAGACGGCTTTGCAAAAGGCCGCAAAAACAGTAATTCACAGCAGATTATGGAAGATCTGCATGTGCGAAGTTTTAGTCTAGATAGTCCACACATATAAGCCGTTTATTGGTAAAATACGCACATACACTCACTAATTTATACAGAGAAAATAAATTTTGAAAATCTCAACAACCCATTTTAATGAAAGAAGGAAGTTCATAAGAAAAGAGAAAGCCACACAAGAGATCAAACATGTTTGCAAACACCTACTTCTAACTGAAGGACTTCTACGTTATTTTGGTTAAACAGCGCAGAGCATTTTCACCAATTTTGCATCATTGAATGTCGCTTACATTGAGGATGGCGCGGAGGTGGAAATCAGGGATATCGTCGCTCAGGGCAGGCTAGAAAAAGTAGAAATCATCCCTGCAAGAAATATCGAAAAAGGACAGAAAACACGTTTGACGGTATGCATTCCAACATGTTTGTTTCAGTCTATCTCAAGCTTTACAGCTGATCTATACTGGACCAATAAGCACCAGTTTGGGAGCACTTTATCAAACGAAGTACATTGAGAATAACAAGACAAAGTGAGCCATCATTTAAGTCAAATGCAACTATACTTCAGGACATGCTTGCTTTTGTTTTTCGTGGGTTCTCTAGATCCATAATCTAGGGTAGCTGCGGTTACTCAGATGGAACCGACTGATGCTCGTGGAATGGTGCCGTGCTTTGATGAACCTGCGTTCAAAGCACCATGGAATGTCACAATTATTCACCCCAAAGGAACGCACGCTGTATCAAACAATAGGGAACAGAGCGAAGAAACATCGTAGGTTCCAGGTTTACTTCCACATCCTGTAGATGCTAATTATGTATAGACGGCTGTTGATAAGGAATGCTACAGTCTCATTATAGCTGAAACCACTTACATGGGATGGAATAATGTAACAAAAAGGCTGCTTGAGTTCCAAGGGAGCAAGGAATTTTGGCAATATGTATATTTCAGTAGTTAAGAGCAAAAAAGAAAGCTCATACACAGTCACGGAAAGCAGCAAATGCTTCCACTAATACATATCCGTACGCCCCCAAATTATATGCAGCTATTATCTAAATGATCTTTTGGCACGACGTTAGTACACTCACTCAGACAATTGAACGAATATTCAGCTGAACATACAAGAACAAATCTCCTACACCGTTTTGCTGCGAAAGTTTCAGTTTGCAATCAACTTGTAGTCAAATTTCTGCAGTAAGTCCGATTCTCGAAACTACTGTATAGTAAAGAGAATTTTGTGAAGCTTTGTATATATTTCGTCCGGCAGGGGTTCCCATCGAATGCCTGTGTAATACAGATACTGATATTAGTCCTGCATTGCGTACTTGACTATACGCAACTGACTGTAAAATGTAAACGCCACTAGGCATGAATATATCCTAAAGTGGCTGATACCGTCGTTTGTTTCATACTTAACTAAGATTTGGATACACTTTTCATAGGTCTTCGTACGTAGAGATTTGTATAGGTGAAGTACCGCACACCCTAAGGAAAATGTGGAATCTTTAATTCCATGTCATAGTCCCAAACATATTAGGTCGTTCCGAAAGTAATTTCGCTTTTTTCAAACATCCCGCAGATCAAAGATTCTCGGAGTGTCTTAGACGCATTGGATACAACTTTTTCATCCTCTTTTGAATGGTTAAGATTGCATTTGCAGCTTGACCAACTAGCTCTCAGAAAGTTCCCAAAGCCCCATATTTTTTGCCATGGTTAATTTTAGCTAACTTTCTAATTATATAGGCTGTACCAGCCAGCATCGGTTATGCGACGTCGCGCCTGCGGCAACCTACGACGGTGTGGTGTGACGCGTGCGAACTCTGCTACGCGTCAAGGCACGTCGCATGCGATGGTGCGTCGTCGCAAGTCATACTAGCGCGGGACCGATGCTGGCTGATACAGCCTATATGTGGTGGCCCCTCGGAGAAATCCAAATGAGGGGTAGACAGGACAAACCCTACAGGATACATATCTATATGTTTTCTCTTTCCATATCTAGTCTTGATTTTTTGATGAAATTATCAACAAGAAACCACCGGATTTTGGCAGGGCTACGTCAGACACAAACGCATCAAAACACCAGGAATTTTTGGCATTAATTTCCAAAAAAATATTGTCATCTAACAATTTTTACAAAACATATGAGCGCTTACGGATTCAAAGTATCAGATTTTGCAATTTTCTGATACAGCCTATGGCGTGTTAACAAAAAAAAATTATCGTGATTTTCCTCAAGACATAAATCAAAGCCGAGATAGACCTATCAAGAAGAGTAGAAAAAAACTGGATCGAATAGCATCCCAGTTACTTGCCGGTCAAAGTTCTAAAAGTTCTAAATTACACAAATATGGAAATTGGTAACATCAAATAAAATTCTATAAAAAATTATGATGAGTTCTGGAAGGAATGGTAAAATTTTTCTATATTTCGTAGCTTTTGCTCTATGTAAAGTCACTTGAATCTTTTCTAGTGGTCGATACTTAGGATTTAGAAAAAAAAGCGAAAGTTGCTCAATGGAAAAATCATAGATCGTAGTACTTGGTAATTTTCTGATGCCTTGCTGGCAATGTGATCATGTCCATTTGAAAGACGACATGAAGAAGTTGTATCGGCTGCAGTTAAGATCTTGAAAACTTGCGGGATGTGGCGATGATTTGAAAAAGCGAAACTATTATATTTTTGGAACGACCTATAATTCACAAGTCATCCATGTATTGCTTTTAGAAAGGATGGTAAATGGCTCACAACGAAGTTTGCTCCAACTCCAAAAATGTCTTCCTATCTTCTCGCTCTGATGGTATCAGAGTTCGAATACATCACTGGCAACACCACTACCAATGTAGAGGTAAGGCGGATGATGTTTTGCGAGTTTATACATAAATCTGACATTTTTTGAAATTTCCTCATTTGGTGTAATCCTCCAACCCGACCCACTGGCCACATTTTTTGATAACTGACGAGAGAGATCCGCCTAGATTGGGAATACAAGAGACCAGGCAATACACGTCGTTTACCATTATCTGAAAGTTCAGCAACACACAGGGCTCAGCAGAGGTGGAGCTTTCATACGCTGGAAGTCGTTTTCTGAGAGCGAAGCAAAATGGAGATTTTATTGTTTCCAGGGGTGATTTCCGGCTTGGTAAAATATGCAAAATTTCCAAATTCGAGGCTCTAGTGCCATTTTACCACTAACATGTAAACTAACTTACAAACACGATTAGTGCACGAACTTGCGTGCACACGATTTGCACCGTGTTAAGACATGATCTTCGTAACAAAAACATAAACATTCAATTTGTTTACAACCGCTAAGCAATATTAAGCCATCAAATTTGGTGTATAGCTTCGCGACGATGGCGAAGAGAAAAGTATGAAAAATTATGAAAAAATTAAGTGATTGAAAGGAGTTGTAAGTGTTTTTCTATTTTAGGTTGCTCCCGCGCAACCTGGGAGTACCTGGGGTTGCGCGAGACCCAACGAAGTCATAATTTACCCCCCTCATATAATTTTTGGAAATTTTTACATAAATCTGTTCTCTGGGTCAAGCTTTATGAGTACTCACTTGAACCCAAATCTCGACCCCACTCCTTTGCTACGGCCCTGGTATATATAAAAAAGCTCGTTTTTTTCGCGTTCTGTTGTTTTATCTCTGATTTTCCTGATTTTTCTTCACTTTGAGTCATTCATCGTTCTCTGCAGAATACAAGCCGTATTTCCACAAGTCCACAAAAGGTTATTCGTGAATCTCTGCACTGTCAAAGGGGATTTCGTTTCCAAGATTCTCAAATACACCTCGTGCTGGGTCCTGGCAACACAGTATGCAAAAAATAGGGCATGATTGTACCTGAGTAAAGAAACTTCTTTTTGGTTAGATCATTATGAATCTAAAAGATCTAATAGAAAATCTCACGCATATACTGTGTTGTCTTCCAATTTTTTTAGTTTCTAGTTCCGATTATGGTCAAGAAAAGAGGCGAAAGACATGACCAAATACGCGCTTTATGCTGGAACTAAATGCTTATCGTACTACGAAAAACTCTACAACTACAGTTTTCCTCTGGACAAGCAAGGTAAGTTTACCTATCAGGACGGTAATTCATGCACACTTTCCCTTTCAGACATGGTAGCTCTTCCGGATTTCTCAACTGGTGCCATGGAAAACTGGGGACTGGTCACATACAGGTTGTTCCCTTTACGGTAATCACTTGCTGGCAATGTTTTAAACTAGGGAGAACTCACTTCTTTACGACGAGAACCTTTATGGCCCACTAAATAAGCACCGAGTTGCGTATGCCGTCGCTCATGAGCTTGCGCATCAGGTTATTTATTGCATCTTGCCCTCTCCGACCTAACACTAAGAATGTCCTAAAATAATCCAAAAAACATGCAGTGGTTTGGTGACTTGGTAACTATGAAATGGTGGGAGGATTTGTGGTTGAATGAGGGTTTTGCCAATTATGTACAGTATCTTGGCACTGACGAGATCAGCGACAAAAAGATGAGAATGGTAAGGATTAATGCCAGGTCTCTGAAGTCATAAGAATCGCTTTTTAAGCAAGAATATTTCCTTCTTGGCACACTTACGCTAGCGTTGAAGAGAGATTCGGTCTCTTCAAGTCATCCACTTTCCTTCAAAATGGAGAAGTCTGCTGAGGTATTCGAGGCTTTTGACGAGATATCTTACGAGAAGGGAGGTTCTGTGCTTCGAATGCTGGCAAAAATTGTTGGGCAAGACAAATTTGACGATGGAATTCGTGTGAGTTTGGGGCGTTCATTCAATTTGTGTTGAGTTAAACTGGTCATGCGTTGTGCTAAGAGTCCTTGACTTCCTTTGTGGAACATCTTAACATAAGCTGCCCAGACATCCATGTTTAGAATTACATCAGGAAATTCGCGTACAAAAACGCTGAAGCCGCAGATCTGTATGAAGCTATCGACGAGGTTATTCGTGAGGACGTCCGTGGTCCGAATGGACCCCTGAAGCTTGCCAAATACGCCAATCAGTGGACGAAACAGGTATGGAAGATGGAATGGCTTGCGTGATAACCTCTGTTCCAGATGGGATACCCCATTGTGACGGTGAAAAAGTATAATGATACGCATGTTGAACTGACACAAGAACGGTATCGTCAAGATCCCGATGCGAAAGATCCGGAAAGATACGCTAATCCAGAATTTGGGTATGAGACTCTCTCTATTGTGGGTGCTTATGATTTTTTCGATTTAGATTCAAGTGGGATATTCCGATCTGGTACACCGAAGGGCTGGAGATACCACCACTAGCATGGCTTAAGAGAGGCACGTAGTTCCAATGTTGGTCAATGGTCCGTAGTCACCCCCCCCCTCCCCTCCCCCCGTTCAGCGCAATTTGGCTGACCACAAAAAAATGTGAGCCTAGGCGTTGCATAGCTTACTCACGAACTTCTTACGGGATTTGTCTGATTACCCGCTTTTGCACACTATTATCGTCAGTTCAACTTCCAACCTACCTTAAACATGCACAGCGTTAAGACCGTGGCACTTGACCGACGGCCTTTTGGCTGTTCCATTCGCTATTTCAAAGCACAGGAAGGTGGGCGGTTGTAACTTTTTAAGAATAACATACGAGTTTCTTGAAAGTTCGGTCAGTTTAGCTGTCCTAAATAGGGGTGGGGTTCACTACTGGCCAAAGCAAGGCACTTGGTCAAATGAAAGCTCACTTACAGAGGAGCCATTGTATCTCAAAATCAACCATAAGAACAAGACAACAGTCATAAACGCGGACAGAAATGGTTTTTACCGTCAGAACTACGACGAAGAAGGATGGAAAGAAATTACAGAACAGCTACTTGCTAACCATACGGTATGTGCGCTACAACAAATATTGCGTTCATTTGGAAGTGGGATCATACTCCGTTTTCATTGTTGAGTGAGCTGCTCAGCGTAAACGAGACTTTACGTCGCTTTGCGTCGTTGCTCGAACAAGAGGCTGTAACGTGTCAGGATAAAGGTTAGCTACTCCTTTACCTGAGGTGTAGCGGGGTTACATTACTTACTATAATATTTATTATGCAAGATATATACAGAAAGGGAAAGAGGAAAGGGGGAAGAGGGCACCGGCTCCTGCTGGCGGGCGACACTACTAGAGGTTGGCTGTCTTCGGCCAACGTCCTTAAGCAGCTGTTGTAGCTAGCTGCGTCCCGACATCTCCATTCCTTCAGGAAGCTCGTCCTCGAGATTCCATATGGGTGAGGTTTCGAATTGTTGTAGTTGGCATTGGCGTGGTTGATGTTCTTCCGAGTAACGCGCGTTGGAATAAGCACGTAATATACGGCGAGAACATACAAATTGAAGTAATGAATACGTTGAAGATATATGATAGATTTAAGGATAGGGATCCAGTGGACTGCGAGCAGTCACGACTTTCACCTAAAATATCCCATTGCTTTCAGTAAGATCGCCCTCGAGCTTGAAGGTAGCTGAGGAACGGTGTAGGAAACTGCGGAGAGATGCACTTGACTTGAATGGGGTTCCTGACATGATAATGGGAAGGGATTGGAAGTGGAGTCGTAGGAAATCAGGACTGGACCTGCTGGTCTGTGGTAGTAGTAGAAAGATTTGGTTGATGGTGGAGGCATTGTTCTAACATTCGGAGTATAGACTTTACTCTATATGTAGGGAATTGTAATCAGAACCAATAACATACGAGATGGTGGGTGTAAATGAGTCACAACAGTAATTTACATCAAGATGCTAGTGAACGATAAATCATGGTTTACTCACAGTAATTATTGAGCAATCATACAACATGTTTAGCGCTAATATTGCAAAGTTGAAAATTTTTTTGTACTAACATTTTCTGTGGATATCGCATGTTATGACAGAGGCAAAACGAGTTCATATGTTGAACTGGGCACTGCACACTTTTTTTCGTTCAACATAGGGGCAAAACTTCCCAATTAGGTAAAGAGTTTGATTTTGAGCTGCCTAACGCTAATGATTACTTTGAATTGCCTGTTCAAAGAAATTTTTCTTGTGTAAGCGCGACAGTGCGGCAAAGCATGAAAACAAACTCACCTTGAAGGTTGTAAGAGGTTGTGCAAAGTTGTTGGCATCATGTTTTTCAAATGATATAACAATAAATCAAAAAATTGTGCCAACATTCTTTTTTTGCAAGCGCTTGTATATTGGCCGCTTACTGATGTTTCCTTTTATTTGCAAAATATTGAAACACTCAAAACATCAGTAGCTAGTAGTCAGACATACAGATATGAAATACAATGTAATACAACATACAAGAAATCAACATAAACTATTTCCATCAAGCCTTTCTTGGAATGTTTCATGAATGGTGATGGAAATGGTTTTACATATGACAAACTACCCATCGATTCAACATACCTTATGCTGCTATTTGCAACTGCATCTGCATTTTGAAGGTAAAAATGACTTAGCAGTGGAGCTTTGCGCTTAAAGCTATAATAGATTTGGAGCAAAAGTTTTCAGAATTCATGTGTAAATGGCCCTATGTATTTACCGTTATCACTTCGTCGATAAACTCCCAAGGTGTGAGTATATCACTGCGAAGTGCGGCTTTTCAAGAATTTACAAGTCATCGATAATATTTTTTTCTGATAAAGATGCATTGACTCAGATGTTCTTTTGCAACAACTTCTTATCCATTTTCGTCAGAAAATATTCTTGAGAGATCTTTCATCCTGCTCACTGAATTTAATTTTTTTCCAGTTTTTTGAACATCTTAGTCTTTTGATTGCTGCGAAAACCCTTGCTTTGCGGTGCTACAAAACACTTTTTTTCGATTTGCGATGAATTCAATTGTTTCCAGTTTTTTTCACAAATTCAAAGTGTTAACTTGCCAGAACGATTTTTTTCGTCAGCTATATGATGGTATGCTCCAATGGTTGCTCGAATACCTTCAAAAAATGATCGATAAAGAAAGCAATCAATCATACTGCTGAGCTACTTTTCATATTCTGTCAAAAACAAAAAATCCGCTTTCACGCTGGTCTTTTACGTTCAAGCGTTGACTGGGAGCATTAGCTAACGGCTGTCCGTTAAAAACGTTTCAAAAGTAAGCAGCAAAGGCACGGTGTGGTTTTTGACAACTTAGGTACAAATTTTTTTGATGATAGTAATTCTGGCATAGAATCTGCTGCTTTTTCAATCGAGACATTCCGCTTTCAAAAAAAAACAATGCTTGTTTGAATCCGGAAACTGAACTGTAAATTGAAACAGAAACTATCTCTTTAGAAAAAATGTTTTTTTAGGAATGTACTTAGATGGGTACTTCAGCAGAAAAGTGTGGAAGTTTTTTCTTTTACTACAGCGAGCCATCGATCCGGACGCGGATCGAATTGTAGGCATGATAGAGACTGCATGTTCTAAAGAAAAAGCAGCTTCGGAAATTGTGCAGGTTTGGTCAAATGGCTAAAGCTAATGTAGTACACGCGGCAGCAGCAGGGTTCGCGCCCGGCAGGTGCCGGCATTTTTGCTATATCGCCGAGGCAATCTTTGATAGCAGCCACTATCAAAAAAATCGATCGTGGGCGCTGTCTTTGCTGCGCAAACGAAGACATAAACCGGATACGATAGTTTAGCATCAAGATCCATAAAAAATTGTGGTTTTTGGAAGAGAAAAAGAGAGTTTCATCTCTATTTCAAGCATTTTTCGAGAAATGTAAAAATTTGATCGACATAGCCCAAGCTGACACGAAATATGTAGAAAAGACTTGATATCCCATTTTTGCTGCGATCAGCTGTTCATTGATCATCCCCATCCGTATGCCACCCTGTTGTGCAATTTCGGGCACTGTCGTTCGCAGAATCAGCTAGCTGACGTTTCCCTTAAGTTACTCACGAGCAACTTACGGGATTTGTGTCTGCGTCTCCTTGCAGACACGCTATTTCCGTAAGCCAGGCCGACGGCGACAGCTTAGCTTGGGGCAGGCAGCGCAGCTCATTGCGGCAGCTGACCGGCCGCTTGGCTGTCAGCTCATCGTCTATTCTTAATGCACTGTAGCAAGGGGGATCGTCAGATTAGCTTATGGATCTCTTCTGAGGGGGTCAGCGCAGATTATCTGAGCTGAGTGAGAGTTTACTACGGGCCAGTAAATTCAAAACAGAAAAAAAAACTTCTTCTGCATATTCCAGTTCCTGAAAACTAGGAGTATCTATATGAGAATATCTGCAAGATGTTATTCCTGCTCAGATTGTCCTCGAAAACGATTCTCTTCGTAAAACCGAGAGTCACGCTTAAACAACGCGCTAGAGCCTTAGTTGTGGCAAATAGCACGTTGTTGAGGAAAAAATTCGGCTTTTCCATATCCAAGGAAATGGACATTCTAATGAGAACTTAGTTTAGGACGTAGGCACATATTTCTCGCACACTGCGACTTTTGCGAGCAATTTGCTAAAATTTGCCAGTCCTTTAGGTGTGCTGCGTAGTAAAGTATTTTCAAATAGCTGATATTGCAAACTAAAGTAGAGGATTACACTGTTCCTTTTTTCGAGGGTTAAGAATTTGAAAGAAATCTTCGACAAAAGAAAATGCACGCGCGAAGATCGGATTTCTCCATCCCGTACAAATCTAGAAAAATTACTGAGTTGATATGACCCGAAACTCTTTCTAGATACTATACATAGTTTTTTCTCTTGTCTTTCTTTAATAAAATCTTGACCGTCACTAAAACACGAGCTGTACGTACTTACTTAATTAGGGCTTTCCGAATTGTTATTTGCATATAGTAGGAACATATTTGTCACATAGTAAAAAAAACTTTTCAGTGCAACTTTTGGTGCCATAAACGGTCGTAATCTTCCTCTCCATCAAAGTCCAAAAATGGGCATATATAGATTTTTTTCTTCAAGTACGTTTTGGGAGTTTGTCATCAAAATGTGGAAAACATGGTACCAAACGGCTTCATTTATCAATGTCGCAAGTGAGAATGAGACTATCAAGTGAATCTGTTAAACAAGGGAGTGTGAAGATCAAAGCTAAATAACTCACATTCTTTTGGATACCAAAACGAAGCTGAGTAATTGAAACTTTATTTTATTAGATTTTCAAACGTAGAAGAGGCTTTCACATCAGGAGTTCGATCATAATGTTTTTCGAGAATGATCTTAAAACGGGCACTTAATGGGTAAATTGCCTGTGATGAAAAATAAAAATTAGTGACTGTTTACAATTCTTCTAAGAAATTTCGATTAATTTGTATATTAGATAGCCTAACATGATAGTAACTTCAAATTCAGAGTTCGGGGGAAAAGTGAGATACGCTTTCGAGTGATTGCAGATGATGTTTGGATTTCCAAATTGTTTTTTTTTTTTGCAATAATGCTTCTTCGCCGGAATCGCTCAGCCTAGAAAAATCAAACTATTTGTTTGCCCTGTTTAATGATTAGGTCAAACTGTATGGCTTCAGATGTTACGGAAAAATACCAGAATTTTGTTTGAAGCACCTTTTTTAGTGAAAATTTCTAAAGGTTATCAAGATTTAGGACAGTACATTTGAATTTCGTCCTCAAACTTTCTCTCTTTACCATGGAGCAACCAAATTCAGCTGATACAAAATATTGAGTTTGAGATATCCTGCTAGAGCCATTCTCTTGCACAATTATAGTCTCCTCTACCGCTGCGTTTATTTGAGGGGTATCTGCTCTTGTCATGCTCCATAAAAATATGCTCCATAAAAATATTGCAATTTGGTCTATTGTGTGTGCGCACGAACCTTAAGCTTAAAAGGAGAATAACCGCTATTTTTATTGTTCCGCTGTACACAAATGTGTAGTTGCTGGATTTCTTCTAGTTGCTATAAAATCACTGAAAGAGTCCCTTATGAT